AAAAAAAAAAAAAAAAAAACAGGAGCAAAAGTTCAGATTCCAAAAGGAAAATACACTAAAACTTAAGGGGTAGGAAAGTGGGAAGAACCTTTAGCTATTTTATAGTTCTGCAAAGAATAAACGGCAAAAACCCCCAGCTATTCTAAAGGGACTAATGAGTAATTTATAAAAAATATTTTTGTGTGTAAAAAGAAAAACTTATAACAAAGACTTTTATGCTTGATACCCTACCTTAGAAAACCAGGATTTAGACCCAATGTCCCCGGTATCAAAGACACAGACTTACCCATGACCCCACGCAAAATGTACATTTATTTCTATTTATTAATAAATGTTTTTCTTCCATTGTTGCTGCTCACCTCTGCTCCCTCAGTTTTGTAGCTTTGGATAATGCAGTGTAAAACTCCCTTATACTTCCTTTGCAGCTGGGCATCTGCCTGCATTCGGCTCTTCACCACATCAGCTGGTGTTGCCGTGACCCAGGAAATAGAGCCTGAGGGAGAGAAGAGAAATCAGACCTCTAAAAAAAAAACACAGTGATAACTCAGAGCAAAAATCCATACTGCAGTACATGCTTAATTCAGGAAGAGACGGACCAAAGCATGCATTCATTCATTCATTCATTCTCTGCAGCTTATCTGAAACCGGGTCCACGGGACATCCTCGTTTAATACTTCCTCTTCCACCTTTTCCAGACACAAGAACGCTTCTTATATATCCCTTCCAAAAGTTCCAGGTCTTCTCCAAGGGTTCCTCCAGGTGAGTCACGTTTGAAGCAGCTTCTCAAGAAGATTACCAGTTATTCCTTTGTGCTCACACAGCTGAACTCTTTTCTGGCTGCTGAAGGGTGAATATAGCCATGGTTTGGAAATGTTGTAGTCTATTTAGTCAGCATCCAAGGCTGATGACCATAGATGATCACTTAAAGAAACAGCGACTGGGAAATCAATAGTTTAACAGCCTATATTGGATATTTTTCAACACATTCAACAAAAGACTGGTCTCTTTGTGCATGTCTCATCTTTGATGAGAACGCACCACACAAACTAAAAGCAGCTAAAAAAAAAAAAACTAAAAAAACTCCACCTTCATATGCATCTGATGAACCATCTACAAGAAGTAGAAGAATTGGAGCAAAATCAGAGACCAAAAACAGCCCTTGCTGAGTTGAACTCCAGATGAAAACAAGTTAGACTCCAGAGCAAAAACAGGAACCAAAACGATTTTATCTCAGTTCCAGGACCCCCAGCACTACAAAATGAGGGGGGTGGTCCATCAGACATAACATCCTGCTGAGTGCATTAATTAAAAGTCCACGATGAGATGCACTACAATTCCTACACAAACTTGCTATGGACATTTTTAAGCTAAATCTCTCCACCACATTCCAGTCAGGATGTTCAGGAAGCCAGTTTGAGATCATCTGAGCTTAATGAGATAGAGCCACATCGCCACTAGAAGTAGAAGGTTGAAGATGGGTACACTGCGTACAGAAACGCATTAGATATGGCAAACAGTATTACTTAGGGAGGATGGGGCATTTAAAATAAAATTCAGTTTCTGTTAAGTGGCCCTATGCATGGCAGGAAAATATTGCCACACCATAAGGACATTACTTTCTGCTTAAACTGTTGAGGCAAAGCAGAATAGATATATTGTTAATCATTGTGGACATGGACGCCAACCAGACCATCGGAAAGTTCAGTTGCAGATCAATTTCAAGAACCATTCTCTGCAATCCTAAGATATACATTTGTGTATAAAAATCCCAGCAGCTTCAGAATAACTTATCTGGCACCAATAACCAATTTACTTACAAATATGCACAAAAGTGTGCCTGAATGCATTGAGCTAGTGCATGGAACTCACTAAAGTTGCCATTAAGTTAATCAAATCATCAAAACATTTGAAATATTACTTTGAGGCTAAGAGTACAAAATGTATCTAAATGTAAACGAAATGATTTAGAGAAAAAATATGTTTTAAATTAAGCCCAAATTAAGTTAAGGGGTAGATTGGTGAGAATAGTTCAGAGAACATTTGAGTAAAAATAACAAAATAAGGAAGCAGAATGGGTCTAACAACATGGCCTTAAGGCTTAGACCACTAACTTTCCGCCAGTTCCAGTCTTCTAATTTTGGTTTGTTTTGCTGTATTTTATAATTTATCTGACCAGCACTATAGATTGGTTTAGACCATGCTTTAGTGTCTGGCTCAACTGGATCACTTCTAAGGAAAGCAAAACCCATATGGGCCCCCCTGATTTACAGCAGACTGAGCCTCTTCTGTACAGTCTGAGTCTGTCACGTGTTGGCAGCTGGTCAGCCTGCATCTGGAAATAATCCTGCACTGTTTATCTTCAATGCACATACAGTGTTTATCTCCATCCGAGTCTCCTGATTGGCTGCAAGTTCACACACCCTCTCTCAATGCATCAGTGCCTAAAGTACCTCCTTGGTATACAGTTTCCAGATCCTTAATCTATCCATATGTCATTGTCTTGGCACTATATTCCCTGGAAATGAGATCCAACATTTATAGAGAAAAATATGTAGGGGAATGAAGAGGAAGAAGAGAAAAAATGAAATCGTCTGAGAGGAACTCTTGCTTGTCCATCTATGCATCGAAAAAACACAAACTTATCCACCAAGATGTTGTGAAATGAGAAATGTATGGTAGTTTTGAGAAAGGCTGGAGTTGTTGAAGTGATTTCCCCCCCCAGAAAAATCATGTAAAAATGAACCTTAAATCATTAGGAACCAATTTGTTTTCTAGGCTTTAAACAACTGAATTTGCTACAGAACCAATTATTTACAAATGTAAATTCATCATCTTAACGTCTCAGAGCCAAAGACAATTAAATAAAGATATAAACATGTTTTGGTTTCAATAGCTCACGCCTTAAAATCAACATAATGTAATCCATTCAGCCTGGTTTTGTGGATCATATGGAATATTTTTGTTTATCTAGAAAGCCTAGAAATGTTTTAAAGGAGTTTTCAGACTTTCTGTCAGGATGCAGTAATACACGTGTCTTCCAACCTAGTAGTTCTACAGACAGCCAATGTAAATATGGCGATATGGAATCTAGTTAAATAGTTTTCATGATACACATAAAGCTTGATATTCTTCTTGCACATAAACTTGTTTGTAATGGAATGAGCTAGAACATGTGCTCCTTGTAAATTCTTCACACCGTGCATTCAATTATTCTAAGAGAACTTGTAGATGATGCTGGAAAATGAAAATAAACTTTTGAAAACTAAAAGCTATTTCAGTTTCTTGAAGCTTTATCTTCCTTGTGATTACCTTTTCTAATGTCTTGGAAAGTTCTGGTGATTATATCTGAAAAGGGCATCCATTTCTAATTACCTCTTAGCTGTATATTTAACAAAAATAAGTTGTCATGGAAAATATACAATCAATGTTTTAAAGACTGAATTATGAATGATTAAAATCTGATGTATATATGACTGATTGGAATAAACTACATTGATATAAATTTTATGTAATTTTATAGGGCCAGATTTAAACTTTATTCTTTTTTTTTGGTAATTGTCCTAATTTGGAGTTATATATGTGCATATTATTTATTGTTCTAAACTTTACATTGATTTAGTAAAATATCAGTGACAATCTCTTTATCGTTTTAGATTCATCCTGCCTGTCCATCTAAATACACACTTTATTTTGAAGAATATTAGAAATTGACAAACCAAGCAGCCAATGCCTACACATTTACATGAAGACCGAACATCACACATTTTCACTGGATCCATCCCAATACAAACAAAAAATATATAAGTTAAGTGCCAATTTTTTTTAATCAGGAAAGGATTTCTGCAGCGTTTTCTATATCAAATTCACAAATACTCTTAAAGTTCTGCATTTAACCAGAGAAGGGACAATAGTTGGACTAACATACCAGCTAACATTGATGTCCTTTAACATTTTTTCCATTTATTTAATACTTAAAATAACTTACAGATGTCCCCTTAGTCTGCTGACCTTTTAGTTTGTGGCTACTTTCTGAACTTCAAGTGAATAAATACCAGATGGAATCCAAATACTTATTGTAATCCAAGTAACGATTCAAGCATTTACCTGCTAAACCTCCAGCGAGCCAGATCGAGCAAGGATGAGGGCTGGATGAGTTGGATGGGGTCAGCAAGTTACAGAAGACGGCATAGGGGATGAAATAGAGCGCGTATCCTGGGACATCCCTCAGGATCATGGCCCCGGCCCCTCTGTAAAGCCCCTGGATTCCCTCAGTCTGCAGGATGGTGCTGATGCAATGGATTGGGCCTCTGTAGAGTCGCTGGTTGGGAATGTCGACGGAACGCAGGGGGATGTTGGTGCCATTGGGCACATTACCGGCCAGCTGGAGGTTCTCTGGAAATGAAGAGACAAAACAATTCCTTTTTATATTTGTTTTGTAGCACTGGTGTAATATGAGCACACAAAAGGAACAAAAAATATTTTTTGTGTTTTAGAAAACATTTTTTGGCGTTCTAAGGTGCCAGCTTTAATGATGACTTTGAGCTGTAACGGAAAAAAAAAGCCAATCAGAACAACAGACCACATGCAACATGTGCCCCTTGTTAAATTGTGGATTAACTTCAATCAGCTCAATTTTCTTGAAAAGCAGTTATTTTTAATAGCCAATGTCAAACAAGAGATTTGCAGAAATGCAAAAATAATTGGCACATCATTCGTAAAAGTGAAGCGATTTCAAAAGGGCTACAGGGACTCATCCAGAGGGTCACAAAATGACTCATAACATCTAAAGTAGTATATGCTACAATAGCTTTAGATCGGCCTACAGATTTCATAGTCAATTAATTTGATTTCAAAGGCTTCTCCAACCTTTCAACGATGTACCTACCTGGACATAATTCTTGGCACCCCTTGTGTAATGAAAGTAAGTAAGTAGGTAAAACCCAAGTAGTTAGAGTAATAACTGGAATCTGACAAAATTAATAAATAAACTATGAAAATAAAGAATGAATATGAGAATGAATTAAAATGTGACATTGCTTTTCAACCATAATTCAACAGAAAGATTAAAAAAGAAAAACATGCTTAGCTATCGTAAAGCCACCCCTAGTCTCACCTTAAATTGGCTCTTAAAGATTCATTTAAGGCAAAAGACTTTGGAGAAAATATTTATTTCCCTTTGCTGCTTTCTTCAGTGAGGATATTTACGTAATAAGAAACATTACTTCCACCGAATCTGCTGAAACTGTGTCCCGAGGTATGTCTAAACTTTCTGGCCCTTTGCACCTCCATAAAACAATAAAAATTATTTCAAAAGCTCCATCAGAGCGGTCTTTGAGGAAATATCACATGAGATCACAGGGGCAAGATCTATGAAGAGGCTATAAATGTTTCATTGACTGTTTTATCTGAGAATTGACCTACATAAACCTTTATTTTATTGGTTTACTGTTTAACAGATCAACAACAGTTCCGGGCAGAGATTTCCCATGCAAGACTGCTTAAAAGCAATTGTTCCGACCTCTAGTTGATCAAATTCATATCACTTAAAAGAAGAAGAAAAAAAAAAAAACTCCAGTACATTTTTTTAAATATCAATTTGAAAAAAAAAAAAAAACAACAACAAAAACTGAGAGGCAAATTATTTTAATAGGGGAAACGTTACATAAAGTTTGAAAAAGAGACTTTTTGTGTATCAAAAAGCACTGGATGAATTAGTCGATTTTAAAATAGTATTTACTTTGTCGATTAATTTCTCTATTTCATAAGGACATTGGTTGTTTTTCCCAAAGATGAAGATAATTGATGGGAAATTGATCTATGAACCAGAACTAAACCTTTCCTTTCAGCAGAGATGCCTTGAGATCAGACGAAACTGAAACATAGATATTTGGCCCCAAAGAATTTCTCAACAATTCAGCTATCTAGCGTGTTGATAGCTGCATTATATTGTTTATGCGTTTTTCAGCAGAAGAAATGGGTGCACTTGGTAAGATGGCAAAATCTAAGAGATCAGACAGAAAGTTATTGACCGATATGGATTACAAACTCAGTCACTCCAGGTCTGTCAGAAAGAGCCAGTGAAACTATTCTAAAAAGCTTGTTAAAGAATACCCAACATATTTGGCCAGTGTCATACAATTTAAAAAAATCTTAGTAAAATCAAATATTAAATGTACCAGTTCTATGCAGCTACTTGTGTTTATGGTGTAGAGACTTTCTACATCAGTTTGCTAACTTATCTGGATAAAATAAACTACACATTTCATCAACTGTGTTCTGGTTTCATGCTCAGAGTCACCAAGTTTTAAAACTCTGCTTGGTACCAGTTTTAGTAGTTGATAATTTACTGTAACCATGCAATGAAGATTAAAACAAACCCAAAAATTGCTGTTTTTTTTTTTACTTGTTGAACTTCAAAAAAATGTATCCTCCAAACATAAAAACAAAAAAAAAGAAAACAAGTAAAAAGATTTACCTGCCAGAACCGGCTGTGTCTGCATTTGCAGTCTGATCTTGACCAAATCCACTGGAGCTCCAAGGCCCACTGACATCAGTCCAGTTAGCATGCTGGCCACAGTCAGGTCCAGCATGCTACAGGGATGCCTTCCGTCACCATAGCGATACTTGCTTATGAGTCTTTGAGTATTGCTGAAGAAGCCAAACACAACTGAGTTGTAGACAGTGATGCTGGCGAGCGGGAAAGACATGCCTTTAAAGAACCCCATCACCTGAGCATTGCATTAAAAAAAGAAAAGAAATCAGGACAATTGGTCCGTTTCAATATATATTTAAAAAAAAAAAAAACAGAAAGTAGAAGGTAACTGACAGGAGGACACATTTTAAGGTCCATTTGAAACTGAATGTTGTTGCTAACAAATATTTATGTCCCAGCTTGATGAAGGCTTGAGTCTTAAGCAGATTTTAGTACTGAAACATCTCCGCACTGACATAATAATAATAATAATAATCTGTGGGGGGAATTCAGGTTTGTTAAGGAGAGCTGAGCTGAAGTTATGTTCACTGAACCATCAAGCTCATGGAAAAATGTCCAAAAAGGATGAAAGGAAAATGACTCGGTCCAGATGAAAATATACAAATCTATAAAAAGTTTGAATACCTTTATAAAATAAGCTTCAGAGTCTAAATCTATTTATGGGGTAAAGCACATAATATACCAATTAATATTCCATATGATGCATATGAGTGAAAACCAACAGGTTTTAGTACTGATCTACATGTTTTTTTTATAACATGGAAATCATTTGCAGTAAATATGGGGACTGAGAAAAGCTCTAGATGTTTACCGTCTCCTTCCTGTAGATGTTAAGGATGCAGTGGAGCATGTTCTGGTTGCCTTTTCCTGCCTGGAGCCGCGTCTGGACAAAACAAGCAGAGCTCAAATTTGGACTTGATCATGAACGAAACCCACCCTCCCATCCATCACTTATATAGAGTAGAATTCAAAGGCTAGAGGGATAAATTGTTCAGGGTTTGTTTTTTTTTCTCTCCACTTGGTAAATATATACTTGTAATCCCTTTTCTTTGATGGGAGTGAGCATCTTCACTGTCTGAAATGTAATAAATATGAACCTGCTTTGTTAGAAAGAAGAGAGGATGAGTTGTTTTCCCTTAATGCACTTTGTTGCTGGACAAAAGCAAATTAAAGCAAGATGCCTGAAATGTTTTAGTGCAATGATGTAAAAGTTATTGAGCAACAGGTGGTAGTTTCATTATAGACCATCTTATCATGCTTTAATCAGGAGGAGACAGTTGTAAAGGTTGAGAAATAGGGCAGCTCAGTCTTAATTACCTTCACTGTGTCCAGCGGATGCCCAACGACCACACTGGAAGCGCCTGCAGCCAAGAGAAACATTGAAAACAGAATGTACCAGAGGAACAACAACACAGGGGGTACTTTGTTACTGAGAGAGAAAACAACATGACTTAGTAACTTTCTGTGAGACTTTTCTTTTTTACTTCTAAAGATGAAAAAAAACAATGAGACTAAATATGTCAGTAAAAAAAATTATGTTAATTTTCCATATTTCTGATTGTTTTCTTCATGATGACGCACTCAAAGATATGCGGAAAAGTTTGCATGAATAGTGGGCTGTGGCCCATTTGCACACAAAGCAGATGTATCTTTACTGTGTCTTTTATAGATAAAACATGGAGGCCGTGAAACGACTGCATAACAGAACCCAGGGCAAACATAAACCCCTGCAGCCCTGTTACTCCCATCCCCAACCAGCCCATAAAAACACAGAAGCAGACTTTCCAACCCTGGAAACAGGATAATGAGATATTCTGCAAACCCGCTGGGCCTCCAAAAATATTTAGGACTCAGCACATCATAAGGATTTTTTTACATTGCTGTGGGTGTGGATTTTCTTAGCTCTGGGCGTAAGGCTTCACGTGACTTAACATACATATCTGAAGATAAGGCCTTCTTTATCGCTCTGACTGGTTACTATGTCAGAAAAATTAATGAATCATCCATCTGTCTTCTGTGGATTTACTCTTGTATTTTTCTTTCCCCTAGAGAACTAAAAATAACTCAGAAAGATGCAGCCTTTTAGAGAAAGAGCCAGCTATCTTTTACTCCTGCTTGGGCACTCAACTACTAACAGCTTCATCTTTCAACTGAGTATTAAAAACAGAGATGTTTTAATTCCCTAAAGGTTTAACATTTTAGTGAAAAAAAAAAAAGGAGTGAGAGTGAGATTTTTGAAAGTTAGGATAAAACCAGTCCTGTTTTTTTTATTTTTATGATGCATAAATATCAAAACTCAATTAAATATTATTTTCAACAAGTTTTGATTAAATGCATTTAATATTCAGCTTAAACTCTTAACTGAGAGGTAAATACATTAAAATCATGCTTTAATTACTAAATTATAAAAGTAAAAAATCTTAAAGTTTACAGAGGTCATTTTTACTCTATGCTGGAACTGATGAAAAACTATTTTGAGTACACACTGAGGAGCTGCTGCCTTTAAGTGTAACCTGTAACATGCTTAGTTCATGCTTTTATTCACTTTCTTGGTGATATTTTTACACTTTTTATTCATTCCCTTAATTTGCATTCCGTTTTAATTTTCATTAGCAATCCAAATATGTCTTGCTTATTGGACAAACAACCACTTGATTCCAGATTCAGACCTACTTTTCTATCTGGGTTATGCAATAATACGGCAGCGCGCAGCAGCGCCCCCTGTGGTCATTTCTATGATTGCAGGGATTCAGCTAAAGCGGACCGCACACTAACGGGAACAATTAGTACACAAACTGTAATCCCCAAACAGTCAAACATATTGATTATTCTCGAAAAAAGGAACATTTGCAGCGTTATTTCGTTCTGATAATAAAAGGAGGAGATTATAATATATTAAAGTGTGGAGAAACGGAGCAGGGAGGAGGAGGAGGATTCCTGAATAGACCCCCCTTTGTTTATACAGGATGTGGATGCAGTAGTTTTCCATCTTAAAAGTTGCTACTGAACATCAACGGGAGCTTGTGCAGGTGGATTAATTTATCTCTCAAATGTGAGTAAATTAAATAAATAATGATTACAAGAAGAAAAAAATAACAAAAAAGCTATATCTTTTTTTTCTCCTAAAAGATCCGTTAACAGTATTGTTTCTGAGCGAGCACGAGAAGCAGGCAATTTTATTTCTTACCGCCGATCCATCCTGCGAGAAAATCATCCAGTCGAAAATTTTTTGAAGTCATCTTCAACTCAGAACTTCAGCTTAGCGGTGCACGGCAGCAGAGCTCCACCAACAACCCTCAGTGTCTGAAAAAACAGTAAAGCATCACTTCTTATCGAAAATTGCAGCTGACTTTCAGAGTTTCTGAGAAAACAAAACCATATTTTAGATACTGTCTGAATTGATAAAGAGAGAGCGACACAGCCCCGCGCAGCCGACCAATCACAATGAAGTGTGGGTGTGCGCTACAGCTCCCCTATCCAATCAGAGGAGGAGTCTTGAAGATGAACAGCCAATAGGAATGCCCTCATGGTAATAAGCCATGAGGAGTAAAAAGCTGAACGGAGGAAAGAGCATTTCTGTTAATGAGGATGGGACTTCCGGCTCCTGTTTGAGATCCGGATCATTCGACTCAGCTCAGCTGAACTGAATGTTTCAGTTCCCAAAGATTTTTAACTAAAGTTTAGTATTAATTCCCTGACTTAAACTGATAGCATAAAAACATATTTTTAAAGATGCACTGGTAAAAATAAATGAAGTTGCTGTTTGAAAATGTTTTTGCATAGAACTCTGTCAAACAAAGTTAATACATTGTCAAAGCAAAAGTAAAAAAAAAAAAAAAAAATCACCTTGAAACCTCAAATATCTAAGACACGTGATGATCTACAGCTTATTTTTAAATAGAAAATGCCATCCTTAATTTGAATAATTTATCAAATAATAAAGACAATAAGTTTGACTTTAAATTATAAGTCTAATTTGTAAAAGGTGGTTCAATAGTAGAAGCTCAGCTGATTGCAATGCAGTGGCAATTCCTAACCCCCTAACCTTAATCCTAATGATAAAACAAGAAAAGGAAAAACACATTTGAAAACATGTCTCCTGTTTTTTTGGATTTGGTAAGGGAAAAACTGATTAATACATCATGCAAATAACAACAGACACATTAAACAATCAAGCAGCTGTCTGGCAAGTATCATCTTCTGTCACTTACCCGACTGATTAGACACAGTGTGTCACAAAACGCCACAAAAAAAAAAAAAAAAAACTCATTTCAGTTGTACATTTTAATAAGGGATCATGTCTGTAATCTGATCATCTCTAAACATTTTTACAGGAAGCAATGAAATGTTTTCCCTTGTTTTAGACCCTTCTGGTAACTAAGAAGGACCAGCTGAGTGTCTGAAAATAAATTTCAATTGAGTCAACTCCTGAGGCAAAGGAAAGTAGAGGAAGGCCGACAAATATTTAAACCACTGAAACTGAAAAAAAATTCACACATCCATGGGAACAGACTGAAACTGACCCAGACTGGGGTTAAAACTCCCACGAAGATGTCACAAAACAGCTTAGATGGAAAAATAAGTACTGATCTAAAATCTTGTTTTGCTCTCCAGGCAGTGCAAAGACATACACTATACATATATATATATATATATAAAAAGATAATTGATTACAAGTTTCTTGAAATAACTGTATTTGTTGTGAACTGGCAAGTAAGAAAATTTGCCAATAATTTATACTTAGAGAAAGAAAGAAACAGGTCCATTAGACTTAGACAAACTTTATTGTCATTATGTATTCACATTTTGATTCATACAGCTTTTTGACATTGAATGAGCAGCTTAGCACTGAAATAAACATTTCCACTTATAAAGTGCAGTGATCAAAAGTAAACAGTGTAGGAGAGACATGGTGCTAAAGACATTGATGTGGAAGGTTAATAGCAGTGCAAAAGCAAGTAAAAAAGCAATGAAAACACTGAGTTGAGTTATAGTTAAAGGTATTTGAAGGTTAGTCATGTAGTGCAAGTATGATGTTTTCAACAGTTTTCAACAATTTAACAGTCTTATGGCAGCCAGGAAAAAGCTGTTGCAGAATCTACTGGTCCTGCAGCAAATGCTGCAAAGCCTTTTCCCAGAGGGCAGCAGGGAGAACAGTCCATGGTGGGGGATCGCTGTCACTGTGTTTTAGGTGCATAATTTATGATTATTTTATTCTAAGGAGAAAAATAATTATTTATTTTTCAGATCAATTTATTAAGGTTTATTTAATGGTTTATTAAGGTTTTGCTTATTTTGTTTCTCTAATGTGAATTTGCTGGTTGTCTCTGTGATTAAATGAGACGGCATGGGGTGTGTTGTGTGACATATTTTTAAAATAACATCTATAAATTTTCCTTATCAATTAACCTTATTAATCAATAAAATACATAGAAAATTAAATATATTATCTATAAACATAAAAACATGATCTATATTGCTATGACTTACAGCACTTTCAGGGAACACAAATCTATATAACTAGGATTTAACTAGGATTCAGGTACCTTTTAGCAGCATTCATTTATGTGGAATTTTACAAAAATCTGAAAGCACCCAACACAGTAGCATTATCCATACTGGACTGTGTTCCCCAGAATTTCTAATTTCACACCTGGAAGCAAAGCTTGTTCTTATTGTGAAACTAAACAATATTCCAGACACGAAAGAACAGATTCTGTCTGTTTTTATGATTAAAACAAAAATGTAAATACTTTACTAATTGATTCATTGAATCAATTATCTGTGCACTGTTTGATTTAAATTAGATTTGTTTTGTTTTTTCTATTTCTGTCCTTTCGAAGCATTTCTAAATTGATATCTGCATAAATACACAGAGCTAATGCATAATGCCTTTGTATTTCACTGTCTTTCCAAAGTCCTGAGGCTGAATTAATATCAAAATATCAATTAAATAATTCTTAGAAACAAATAGTTGCAGCCCAGCTCTGTTAAAGCCAAGGGGCTTAATAGACCCAGGCCAGTTAAAGGTTAACTGCTCTGTTAACCTATTGTTTAAAATAGTTGGAGTTAATGTTTAAAGATAAAGAAATTAAGGAAAATTCCCACTTTGCTCCACATAAGTCAAACCACAGGCAAACAAAAATTAGGAAGAACTTATGTGCTCTAAAATCGTTAGACAGCGCATGACAGCAGAACCACAGCCAGAAAATCCAGGATCTATTCCATGACACCAGCAACACCAGGAGGATGTGGCAAGGCATACGGGCGATAACAGACTACAACACACCCTCCCTCCCGGTCGGTGCAGCTGATGCAACTTCCTAAATGAACTAAAAAGCTTCTTTGGAAGGTTTGAGGCACTAAATGGCACTCCAGCAATGAAAGCAATTCCACACCAGGCGGAGGAGGCACTCAACCTTGACATAGCAGAATTGAGGAAAACTTTGAGGAGAGTCAACTCAAGAAAGGCCCCAGGCCTCGATAACATACCTGGGCAGTTGTTTAAGACATGTGCAGGTCAGCTGGCTACTATCCTCACAGACACTTTTAACACCTCGCTGGACCAATCCATTGTGCCGGCATGCTTTAAGTCTTCCACCATCATTCCAGTCCCAAAAAATCCTCTGGTCACCTCATTCAGTATTTGATTCACTTCCAACAACTGCTGAAAAAAAAAAAAAAAGAAACTCTAAATCATGTACCAGATTCTGCGTCACACTGATAACACCAGACCAAAATATTGCATTTATATTTATATTTAATGCTCTGAACTTCCATATCAATGTGTTTTTGCACCATGTTTTTTTCTCCCACACTGTCTATGTTTGATTGCTGCTGCACTTTATGGAATAGAAATGTTCATTTCACTACTAAGCTGCTTATTCTCTGTCTGAAAGTTGTGAAGAACAAAATTTCGTTTTGTATACACTCTGTGTATACAAAATGACAATAAAGGTTCTCTAAGTGTCTAAATAAAAAGAAAATTCAGCATCAACTTAAATGAATACTTCAATTGGTATAAAGAAATTGAATTAAGTTTGCCCAACTTGTTTTAATTAAATTGTCAATTATAAACTAAATACACTGAGCTGGATCAACTCTATTCAGTTACTTGTTACAATTTAAAGCAATTCATTTCAGTTGGAGATGCATTTTCTTTTTAGAGTTTAAAACATAGCAGGGAGAAATAATTCAAGTCATGCCAAATCAATAAAGTAATATGTGATAGTTGTTTTTCATATTCCATTACTGTTTATGCTAGATTGTAGTAAAAGCTCCAAAGTTGTTTTCTAAATGAAAATAAAGAGCAGAGCAGATAATTCATTTGCTGTAAAATTATGAGGAAATAGTTTTTCAAAATCTTCTATATTTAATACTCCAAAAGAAGGCCGTACCTTCAAAGAGTACTACTCCCTGAGGTAACTTTTTTTTTTAACCCAATTTTTTACATTAGCTATTAGTCTTCAGGGTGTGTCTCCACATTTGTTGCACAACTAAAGACTAAAATACACCCCTTCTTGCAATACCTGACAATCAGTCTGCTGGTTGGAGAGGTTTTTAACCAGATTTAGGTCAGGAATTTATCACATGCATATGCATTGATCTAAACCATTCCATTGCAGCTCTGGCTGTAAGTGCAGCATTGTTGTCATGCATGAGGTTGAACTTTGCCAACATTTCAAGTAAAGCAGGTTTCCTCCTTTTACCCTGTATTTAGCTCCATCCCTCTATTCTGGGATAGTCCTTTTCCCTGCTGAAGCATAGGATCTCCACAGCATGAGGGCCCCCTCACAGTATCTCAGTATTTGGATGGTGTGTTCAGGTTAATCTGTACTTGTTTTGCTGCTGCACATATACTGCTGTCATGTAATCCAAAATGTTACAAAGTTCCAATCTTGTTGTTTTAGCTTTCTTTTATCATTTTGACTTGGAGAATAAAAAAGGATTACGGAACAAAACAGAAGTTAAAGGTTTCTTATTTTCAACATAGTCATATGACATTGTTTCACCACAATTACATTAATTACTTCTAATCCAACTTTATTTATAAAGCACTTTAAAATCTCTCAAAGGACCAAAGTGCTGTACAGTGAAACGAAACAAAACTACCATGAAAACATAAAAGCATAAAAAATGAAAACCAGCACATATGAAACCTATGATAAAATAGAATAAAAATAATTTAAAATAATTTATCACAGGCTAAAATCAACATCTCACATAATTTTGAAAGCCTAGGCAAAGATATGAGTTTTTAAAGGCGATTTAAAATCAGACAGAAAGGAAGACCATTGTAAGGTCGTTCCACATTTTTGGAGCTGCCACAGAGAAATCACTCAGAAAGATAAGATGGAACGACTTAACAACAAATAAAATAACTTGCACATGG